ATAGACTAGTATTTATACTAGGGAGGTAATCGAATTGAAATAAAAATGTGGTCAGCAGTCAGACCTCATAGTCCACTTGGTAGAGCATCGAGTCAGAAACCCGGTGGTTGCTGGTTCAAATCCGACCGCCGTTCAAATTTCCATTTCACCTTCAAATCATCACTCAACATAAATATCAGTCTGTCAAACCACGGCTATCTTAAATAGCTAAAAATGAGAAACACATATGCAGATGAATTGACTAAACCTATTGTTGATATCAATGTTACTTTAGGGTGGGTGAATGAAGCAAACATGTTTCAAGTGGAACCATAACAACAGGTGACATAGGTTGCCTACTTGTAATTTTTTCTCTCCATCTATTCTCACTACTACTCACACTTGTAAACTGTCAACTTTTCAAAATGTTTTAAAGGTTACATAAGCATTTAAAATCATCAAAATCCATCTTATTTTGAAAACGTCGATATTTTTGCCAAAAGCTAAATGTCCCATTATCACATTCACTAAACTCTGTATGATTCTCTCAGTTACACTCAACTCTATCATTCATATTACTGTAAACAGTATGCAAATGAGTAATCCCAAGAAGTTGCACTACTCTTCAAACATATTCTTCAAGTTGTAAACCTTAAAATGAGTTTAGATGTTATCTTTATTGGAGTCCTATGATAATGTATAATGTTATTAACATTTTCTGAAAACATGTTTACTGAATTAGACACTTAGTGAACGATTGTTTTTCTATTTCTATCTAGATGATTAACTGAGGACAGTTTAATAATCAGTGAATTAGTTGATCCATTCATTGAACAAACAAATTTAGTGAAAACCTAGAGTTTTACTGACCTACTTTCTTGCAAAGAGAAACAATATGACTAAGTGATTTAACAAAGCGTATATACATAAGATATGTTGAAGATATTTGTTAAAAATTAATCGATTGATACTAACCAGCTGTAAATATGCTTTGTCTTCTTAGTAAAGAAAGTGAAGAAACCTGAAAACTTTACTTCTTAGTTAAACAAGAACAAAGCAATAAAGCAAACACTTAGAACATTGAAAAATTGTTAAGATATACTAACTCACAAATATAATCGGATTTCTATTTCGAGGTTAATAAGATTTTTATTTTTAAGGTATAATTGATATCAGTTGAAAAACCATTGAAAAAGTGGGAACACTGTTTAGTTTTAGTATAAAGACACTTCAGCAGTACAACCTATCAGTGATCGAACTCATAACCTTCAGGTATCATAGCGAACGCGTTAACTGTTCAAACACTGGATCTACTGCTGTCAATTTGTGATATAGTGTAACCATTCAGAAAAGTGTTCAGTTAGTATCCGCTCTACTTCTGAATGGTTGATCCCACAGGTGTATACTGTCGAAATCGGATTGAATTGCAAACGTTCGTATTTAAATCTCATGGAATCTCGAATTCTCTAATGTCCTGGATAAATGTAATTTCAACTTTTGATAATATAAAATAACTTAGTAAATACTCAAAAATCAAAAAATGCTTTGCAATCAAACGGAATCAACTTTCTACCTCAACTTCATCAACTTCAAAAAGCCCTTCGACAACGTCCAACAACAAGTAATCTGACAGCTTCTGCTTCAACACTACCGTTCCAGTGCCACAAACCTCCTTCAATCTCATTCAACAAGTATATGAAGACACGACATGTGAAGTAATTGACAATGCGAAGCTCAGTGATGCCTTTGAAGTGAAGACAGGTTGACAGGAATAAGACAAGGCTGTCTACTATCACCCATCATCTTCCTGATTGTGGTCGACTGGATGAAGCAGGAGACAGTGAGGAGTGAGAAGATGGGGATATGCTGTTTGACTGGGGAGAGGATTGTAGAAGATTTGGATTTTGTCGATGATGACTTATGTCTAATGTCTTGTGGCACAAACTCGGAGATCTACATGTGAAAACCAACAAGTTGACAGAAGAGGCAAGACAATGCAGGGCAGGGCAGCCAAGGAAGACGTGAGTTGAAGTGAGCGTAGAGAAGAGAGAGGTGATGAAGATGCCCAACCAACGCAACCAACAACGACAACAACAACACCGACAAGCAACAAGCTGCAATCACGGTCAACGGGATAAACTTGAGGGAAGTAGTCTCTTTCAACTACACCGACACCTAATTAGGCGAGGTAGGATGGTCTCAATTAGAGGGTGCACAGGCACAGACGAGGAAGTCGAAGCCAGACAGGATTGAAAAGACAGCAAGACAGTCTTTCCTGTATTAACCTGAAACGAGTGTGTAGATCTTGTGCTCTGAACTCAGCATGAGGCCTGAACAACATTCAGATTTTCAACAGTAAATCAGTGAAAGAAGTCAGTGCTACTGTGTGATGGTTGAGAGACTTGGCGTGTTATGGGAAGCATTTCCAACAAATTACAGATATTCATCAACAACTGCTGCCTACTCTGGCTCTTTACTGAAGCTGAGATGGTCGGAAAGAATAATGAGAATAAGCGAGGAGGAACTCTGGCTGGCTGGCTGGCTGGCTGGCAGGTAGCGAACCGATGAAGCAAGGAGCTATCACTCAACAAATATGCACTGGACGGAAGTTGAGATGGATTGGATTGGAATGGAATGGGGTGGGCATACACTGAAAAGACCGAATGGGGACATCACGCGCCATGCCAGTGGTTCGAGTGGAACCCAGATGAGAAACGACGAGTTGGTGGTTTTAGGTGAGGGTGACATGGAGGAGATGATGTGAGGAAGAAGTGAGAGGTTGTGGTCAGTGGTGGAGCAGGGTTGAAAAGATTGTAGAGAAGAGAGTGTAATGGAGACGTGCTACTGAAGGTGTATGTTCCACTAGGAACCCAAGGGACAAATAATAATAAATAATCCAATAGAATGCGATAGCTCCTTAATCGGCACTATGTTTCTTAAATCAACTCACCTGCATAAAGTGTTTTTGGTGCTTTTATGGATAATGTAATCTAATTTTCTGTCTAAGCATTTTCTGCTTGACCTATTTCTTATTCATCTATTGACTTAAACAAAAGAGTTTAATCTGCGTGTGTAATTGATGGTGAAAGGGAAACTTGGATCGTGGTGGGATAAGAACCAGCGACCAACGGGTTACTGGCCTGGTGCTCTACCAACTAAACTACGATGTCCGTCTGTTGACCAGATTACTATTTCATTTTATATCACGAATTCACATGGTTACTGGAGTGATATATAATTATGGTCAGCAGTCGGACCTCGTAATTTACTTGTTAAGGCATCAGGCTGGAAACCCAGTGGTTGGTGGTTCGAATCCGACCACGGTCCAAATTTTCATTTCACCTTCAATCATCACCCAGTATAAATACTAGTCTGTTAAACCACAGCTATCTTAAATAGTCAAAATAATAAAAAAATGATACAATGTCTATTAATTAACGAATTTTTTTTAAGGACAGATAAACAATATTCAGATAGGACTTGCCAATTCTCCGTAGCTTTTCATGTTGCCACACCTCGTATCAGCAGATCAAACAAGAATGCATGATGACTGAAGATAAATAAATGAAAAAGGAAGCATTAAAAAGTGACAAAAAGTAGTAAAAAGAACAGCTAGGAGGAATGAGAGAATACTGAAGTTCAGTATAGTGATTAAGATGAAGACGATGTTGGGAAACATCTGCACTACTGAGATCGATTCTGAGCCAATATCACCTAGAGTCATTGATCACCAGTTTCTGTTATCATATCGACCTCAACCGAGAAGCATATATTTCCCTACACTCCTTAGACCAACAATCAACGACTTCATGGATTGATGCTGTGTCCTAGTTTGGCCACCGGTTAACGTTTCCCACCCTGAAACTACTTCGGCTAACATTGTATGACGGACAGACTGAAATCCTCTTACACTTAAGATAACTATGCACTAGTAAGCATATAGGAATACATGACTTTGAATTATTATTATTATTATTATTATTCGTCCCTCGGGTTCCTAATGGAACATACAACTTCAGTAGCACGTCTCCAATGCGCTCTGTTCTCTGAACTCTTTTCAATCCGGTGCCACGACAGCCCAAAACCTCTCATTTCTTCCTCACATGATCTCCTCCATGTCACCCTCACATGGGACACCCAACTGGTTGTTTGCCATCTGGGTTCCACTCGAGGGCCTGAGCCGGCTCGTGATGTCCCCAGTCGTCCTTCTCAGTGAATACTCAATCCATCTCCACTTCCTTCCAGTGCATATTTGTTGAGTGATAGCTTCTTGCTTCATCGGTTCGCTGCCAGCCAGCCAGCCAGTCAGTCAGTCAGTCAGTCAGTCAGTCAGTCAGTCAGTCAGTCAGTCAGTCAGTCAGTCAGTCAGTCAGTCAGTCAGTCAGACAGAGTTTCTCCTTGCTTATTCGTATTATTCTTTCCGACCATCTCAGCTTCAGTAAAGAGCCAGCGTGAGCAGCAGTTGTTGATGAATATCTGTAGTTTGTTGGAAATGCTTTTTGTGATGCGCCAAGTCTCTCAACCATCACATTGAAGCACTGACTTACTGTTGAAAATCCGGATGTTGTTCAGGCTTTATGCTGAGTGCAGAGCACAAGATCTACACACTCGTTTCAGGTTAATGCAGGAAGGCCTGTCTTGCTGTCTTTTCGATCCTGGGTGGCTTCGACTTCCTCGTCTGTGCCTGTGTTGCCTGTAGTTGAAACAGTGCTGCCTAATCGTACATATTATCCAGCTGTTTTTCTACCAAACATTCGATGTATCTGTTAATACTTGTTTGTACAAATGTTAATTTTATTTACCGTAGTAGTTCAACTCCACCCGTTTACCTCTGAGCGGTTTCACGCCCTGTTTAATCTCTCTTCAAAATACTTTTCACCATTCCTTAACGGTACTTATTTACCTCCTGATGCGTATCAGTTTTTAGCCTTGGATAGAGTATACCACATTAAATTCGAAGTTAATTCATTTTCTTGTATGTGTCTAATGTTTATTTTTTTGGGTTTTTCAAACCTTCATAGATTACGAAGACGTGCCAAACCAGAACTAGAAAATGAACAACATAAGGATGTTTCACTTCGGATATCTATACAAGAAGTTAAAAATCTATCCGCTAAAGGACGGTAAGTTATTTCTCACACTCTTTGTTAAATTTGTACGTGGTTAAACTCTGAACTTAAGTTGTAGCTAGCAGTGCAGCTTCTCCTGTAGGTATACTAACAGGCTGAATGACAAGTTGCATTGAACATGACAATTAGTCGGAGTATATATCTAACCCAACATCAGTCTCGCGATCTGTAAATATTTGGCATTGTTATGCTTTGTAACTGAAATGATAAACTGTGTAAACGGTTTTTTAAATTTCGCACAAAAGTAAATTTTCGTTACACAACGATGGAGGAAGGTTGCAGGGTTATCATTACTAGACAACAGAGTAAAATAAATATTAAAATAACCCGACTTTTACTTCCTTGATTTTTTGATTGTTGCATTAGGTAGGACAAAATTCAGCATTTCTACTGGCGATTTTGTGAGTTTGAGGTCATAACGAATAGTTTTTACTGACAGGTGACGTAACAACAGACATGAGACTTAGCAAAGAACCAAATAGATATATGCTCTGTAAACCAGTCTCAGAAGTGAAAGGAGGATCACATTTATTTAGTACTCAACGGAAATTCCCGGTGAACTGAATCATAACTTCATACATACGAGCAATAGGATACTATCAATAAAACGCCAACCCAGGTTACCGAAATTTTTCTCTGAATAATCTTATTGCCCTAACCCAGTGACTCCACGTGGAACCTGAAGGACCTGGCGGGTGGGGTCATGGGTGTACATGGTTGGGGAGTCCCATACTGGTACGAGGTATCTGTCCAGTACTTCCAGCTTTTCAGTGGTTCTCCAACTGGGGTCAACTGGTGATGAAATATTAAATTGGGACCAAGAAATCTTCAAAGCAAACATTTCTGCAGGAAACATATTCCCGTATGGCGATTTGTGGGGGTTTATTGGTTAACTTCAGATTGGTATTCATCATGGAATGACATCAGTTGGAGAAACATAGCATTGGACAGATACTTGAACCGAGTGCTGGACTCCTCAGCAGTGCGCACTCATAACCCCGCCTCGCCAAGGATCAAACTCAGGACCTTCAGGCCTCACGACCGGCAAGTTATCACTGACCCACTGAGTCGGCATCCAGTAGTCCACATTTCCAACTTGTGTCACTTCACAACATAGCGTGTCCACCGTCAAATTCCGTCGTTGGGTAACTGTCTTCGTGTTCGACTCGGTTGGTCATGATTTCTCAATGGAACTTTGGGAATCACTCCTCGAAGCGAGCATTAGATTAATTCATTTTGGAGGTTTAGATTCGCTTAAATACAAAATACGCTACACGTGGTGCGAACACTAACCCTTCTTCATAACATGAGATCCGTACCATGATATAACTATCACAGTCGTAATTTATAATGCAAATATCCTTTCATGTAATAAACATGAATCTCTAACCATATGTAGAATTACGGAATCATTGATCATTTTGTTGTTGAGTAGTTATTGATTACTACCTTTGTGTTTTCTTTTTGTCTGTTAGTATAGTATGTGATTTGTACCACCGAAGTGCAAAGTACTTTTGGAAGATTGGAAGGAGCCTGTGTCTTCGCTCACTCTTGGTGGTGACCAGCTGAAAGTAGTCGAGAGCTTCATATATCTCACTAGTTGTATAAGTAGTGGTAGAAGTGTAGGTAATGAAATTTCTAATGGCATATAGAAAGCCGGATTGGCATATGCTAATCTGGAGCATTTTTGGTACCGTCGCCAAATTTAGCCATTTTGTTGGTATTTATTACGGACATGATATAGTGTTTACATAAAAAATTGTATATTTCAAGAAAAATACCCATTTTTTAAGCAACATTTAAAGCAAAAGTTTAGACAATAGTAGCTCCTTTTTTTCCCCAAGATGGAAATATTTTGTGAATAAAATTAACTAGGCAAACTTACTATTGACCAATCAGAACACTTAGCACTGTTTTTGCAGATGAATAAAACCAGGCCAATACCCTTCATCTTTCTTGTATATACATCTACTTGATAAATATAAATCTTCACCTCATTTGCATGTAGACATGGACCATATCCAGGGCAAAGAAGTAAGCTAAAGCGAAAATTTATAATTCTCTGTTTAGGAAATATTCTTCATTTAGTCCATATGACTGTACATCAATCCAATAGGAATGCTGTATAACTTACTTATTGGTCAAATAAAAAACTGTTCACTGTATAGTTTGAATGAATAGATAAGCGTTTTTTTTTATAAGAACTTCATAAGCATATCTATAAAATGGTTTTGTTATTGACTGAAATTCAGTAATAGTATCTTACCTATAAAATCTGCCCAGAGCTGAAGTGAAAAATCCTACAGTAATAAAATTAGTAGAAGATATTCGAATAAACCGTAGTTAATTTTAACTTATTCCTATCCATGAAACGTTGGTACACATTGTGGACTGAATAAATTTATGTTTCTTATCAGATTGACTATCTGAGGTAGCGGTGGTTTAGTAGACTCATATTTTAATTTGATTGAGCTTCCATGATCACTCTAGGGATTGAGCTCAAAATTGTGAACTAATAGAAGTAGGGAAATGAGAACTACTGGGTTCTACTTCAGTGACTGGAAAGTAAAAGATGTGCTTCGAGACCTGGCAGTCCTGGTGAGGTCGTAGGTGGGAAATATGGAGTTCTATACTAGGATCTAATAACTGTTGAATGCTGCTAGGTTTTCAATAGCTCGGATTTTCAGCTCAGCTCCCAGTTCTTAACCAGACCTTGTCTTCGTGGATGTCATTATCCTGAGCGAGCAGGAAATATCATGGGAACACTTCCACATGAAAATGAAAACTCCTACCACAGCACTCTGTTAATCCTTCCTCAAAACGGATCAGTGTAATCCAATCACTCTCCCAGCTGTCAGGTTTCAACAAATCCACGTTCACCGGGTAATCGGATTGTTGACCATATTCACCTCCCCGCGGGCAGACGTGTTTGGGATGCGTCTCACTGAGTTTCCACAAATTTGCAGACGAGATGCAGCTCACCTTCTTGGAATATTAACCTCCTCTCGTCAAAATTTCACAAACGGCGGCCGCTGCTAGGCTACCTGTCAAATGGTGAAGGCTACAGTGAAATGACATCCGGCGTTCTGGGTCAAATGCCACCCACCTTCGTAAGGCTAGCCACACCACCCCTCTTCGGACTGCTTCATAACATTCTCTACCGGTATTAGGAAGCTGGACTCACTTACTTTTCGGGATCCTGATAGTTAGCTAGACCTTTTGTCCTTTGGAGACCCAGACCACTGATTTAGGTATGTGGATCACGTCGACCGTGTTTACCGCCAAGTCAACTCTGACGCTGATTTGGTTGGTATCCAACTGGACTCAGCGTCGTTTCGTAACTAGTCTCGACCAGTTATCACTGATGCAAACATCATTTTTGGTTTTCCTGACTAGCAATGCAAATACTCACCCACTCAACTAACTCTTCATGTTGACTTCCTGACACGTAACTATACTAGAGCATTTGGCCACTTTCGAGAGCCATAGTTACAAGATAGTAACAAGCCTCGAGACCAAGCGGTCCTGACGAGGATGTGGGTGAGCCTTAGCAAGTTCTATACTATGATATAACAGTTCTCTAGTGCTAATAGGTTTTCAATGGCTCACTGACTCATGTCACTCTGTGATGAATGTTACATACACTGCATACACTTTGTACCCCCTTTAACGTAGACTCTCTTCACATAAGCAGTGCAATACATTTTGGTACAGGTTTGAGTACTGGAGCTGTGAAAGGCTTACGATACAATCTTGTTGGGTCGACCAAAGTTTATGCTGTGAGATTTTTGCTCGGGACTCACTGCATGAAAGCTGAGTGCCTAAGCCAATCAACTATATCACCAGGTGCTTAGATTTCTGAAATGCGATAAAGCTTGTAGTAAATTTAGAGGGAGTTGTGGAATTATTTCAAGTTGTTATTCATCGTAGACTGACATCAGTTGGAGGAACAAAGGAGACCTGGGAGCACTCGACAGCTGTTCCGTCCCAGCACGGGACTCCTCAGCAGTGCGCACCCACGACCCCACCAGCAGGGATCGAACCCGCGACCTTCAGGTTCCGCGACCAGCGCGTTACCATTGAGCCACTGGGTCAGAATCCAATGCTCCATAAATAACAACTTGAAATAATTCCAAATCTCCACAACTCCCTCAAAATTTAATTGAACTGGTGCTCATTGGTGACTAGCTTCGAGAAGTATTCCCGAAGTTCCAATGAGAAAACGTGACCGGTGGAGTCAAAGCCTGATGGCCATGAAGACAGATACTCAGCGATGACATTGGGTGGCGGTTGCGCTGTATATCGTAAGCTTGTAGTAGTTATAAAAGTGTAAAAAACGCTTATCTTCACAACATAAAACACACAACAACAGCGGAAAAAATTAATTACACAATGCCCAAATATGTGGATATACAAACAGTAAAAAGTCAACAATGGGGTAATGCATGTCTACCTGTTCTGCAGACTTTAGCTATCATGATGGTCTTTTACTTTTATTCATTTTATAGTTTTATTCTTCTTAGGTTTGATGAAGCTCACGTTGACTCACTGAGATATACAACTCATAAAAGTTTTTAGGTTGGACTTCATCATGGACTAACATTAGATGGAGGAACATTGGAAATCTGGGGGCACTGAAAAGCTGTTTCGTCCAAGTATGGGACTCCTAACCGGTATGTATCCATGACCCCACCTTACCATTACCTTTGGGTTCGCTGGCTGGCAAGTTTCTATTGAGCCACTGGGTCGGAATCCAATGGTTCATACTTCCTACTTCTGTCAGTTCACTACAACCAATGTTGTCGTTAAGTAACTGTCCTCATCTTTGACTTGGATGACCCCACTGGTCACAGCTCTTTATTGGACCTTTGGGAATCATTTCTCTAAGCTAATCACCAATGAGTGCTAGATTAATTCTATCTAGAGGTTTGTGGAATCAGTTCAAACCTAAGATGTAATGTTAATCAATCAAGCTCAGCCCTGAGTTACTACTG